CTTTTTTCATCGCCAATGGGCCATCATAATAGCATATGTTTGTTATTCAGATATTACACTGATGCAAGCATTTTCAGTATCTTTTTCAACAAAGTTTTAGTGAAATCTGAGAAGTGTATATTTATTTACAATATTAATATATAGACATTATGACTATATTTTTGACAAAATATTTATGGATTAAATTCAGCCTTCATCAGATGTATAACAATCTGGGTAACATACTGGGAATTCTGTACTAAACCCTTTATTTAATCTTCGGTGGTAGAATGTTCTTGTTCTACTGTCCATGTCTGATTACTGCTGATGTTAGAATTTGGGTCAGGAAAATGGCAAGAAACACTGTCTTTTTCTTTATTATTTTATGATAAAATTGTCTGATGGTGATGTTATTTATAGACTAAATTATGAATTATTTTCACTGTTCCTTAACAATGGCAAGATGCGATATATTAGTAGTAGAAGTACTTATGAAAATTTTCTATTTGGATGAATATTAATTCTTAACTTGATGATTGATTCAAGGTCATTTTGAGCTCTAAAGACAAAAATTTGTAGAAATTAATCTCAATATCATCAAATATTTGAACTTAACAACTTTTTTAAAATTTTTTTGACAACACATTAACTTTATCTGCCAGTAAAATGTCGTTATTTAAATTCCTCAAGATTTCTCCTATGTATTTCTTTTTATTTATCATTACAATGTAATAATGCTGTGACCAAGTAATGGTTTAGAAATAAATAAAAAATAGGAACAATACTTTTCTGTTAAAAAATAAAATGAAGTGTTACATACTTGGGAGGAGATATTTTCAATTGACCAGTTCATTCAGTCTATAATGGGGTCCGCCAAAGGACTGTTTTCTTACTATATATATAGTATATATAAGAAACAATTAACCTCATTTAGATGGAAGAAAAAAAACAATTTTGCAGTGTAATAATTGAATGGTGAATTGGAAGATTGGCTGAAAGGGAATCAACCAGTATTCAAAAAAACATATTTTATTTTCACAAAATACCAAATTCAACAGAAGAGGGAAATGGGAAAATGATGATCTTTGCTCACTGTCCTGAGTTAATCATAATTTTCGAAACATTCATTCAATACAATTTGAATCATTTTTATTTGTCCATCACCTCCAATTCAGACTACATGTACCAAAATGTACCACATATTTTCAAAAGGTTAAAAACACCTTTGTGATGATAAAATTTATAATGTTCATTTTAGCTCCTTAATGGAAGTAAAACCCATTTCATATACCATTTTATTCTCAGGTCCTGGGTGTTAAACTGTCTGAGCAATAGCCTCTTCAGACATTCATTAAACATTATAGATATGGACCATTCAAATGGGGGGGCTTTTTTTTTATAAAGAGGACATCTGTGATTAAAAAATCTCAACAACTTCCTATCCTTTGTATCTCTAAGCAATGTTTATCTCTTTACTATTCCTCACCCTCCGAACAGTCTCTGACAATACATTTAATAATATTATTTGGGAGTTAATTACTATATTCCTGTCTCTCTCTTTGTCTTGTTTACGTGTATAATGTCTGTATCCCTCTGCATGTGTCTTTGCTTGACTTTCTCTATGCACATTATTGCATGTGTGTGTGTGTATTATATATATATATATATATATATATATATATATATATATATATTCCTGTTTCCCCCTCTGTCTTTTAATGATCAAATACTTTTTAAAAGAGTAACTGCTCTTAAAATGGTCAACTAACTGGCAATTCTCATATTCAATTCATTCCAAAACTTAAATTTAGCCATTTCTTCTACTCCTATATTTCATGTCTCACAAAATTTGCCTGTGGAACTCTCCCATTTCCTTGTTTCTTTGAAATATATATTTACCTCCAACTATTCCCATGTAATTTCAATTTTTTGTCTCCAGATGCCCTATCTATCCCCCCATCATCTTTCATTCTTTTCTCTATCAAATAGTTATTCTGAAAAATTGCTCAAAAAAAATTCCTTGCATTTATTAGTGGCCTGCTCCCCCTTGTGTCTCTAAATGCTTTGAAAAATATATATACATTATAAAACTGTTACATTAGGATATACAATTTACTAATACAAATTTACATATTTTTGTTTCAACCAATCCTTAAATGTCTCATCAGGTAGTTAACAATGATGAAATAAATGATTTTATTTAAAACTAGCAGTAGAGCCCAGCGTTGCCTGAGATGTAACAGTAAGAGATAGATCAAGTATCGACCATCATAAAGACTGAAAAATAAAATTGACAAAGATTATTGTTTAAGGTTGACGGACACGCCTGTCTTTTATTTTTTTTTTTTTTTTTTTTTTTTTTTTTTTAAATTGGTCAAACCCAAACAAAAAACATTGTTTTCAATCATTATGAGTCTATTGATTGAATAGAATTTTATTATAAACAATTGTCTTGTAAATGGAATTTTTAAAGCATTCTGAATGTAAAAATAAAGAAAAGTCTGCAAGACAATAAGAAACACTACCTGCCAAAAAAAAAAAGTTTTGTTGAAATCGGTTGAAAAATGTAGGAAATCCGATCCCATATATAAACACACACACACACACAAACAACCTGGGTTTTATAATAAGTATAACTCGATATGAGTTGTCCACCTTTCATTCTCACGACAGTGATGCCTCTTAATCGTGTTTTCTAATTGATTTTGTGCAAAAACAATTGTGTTTTCCAACTTTTGGCGCTGTCAGAACAACTGGAAGGTAATTTTACGTAGTCCTGTGAAGTTTATTTGAAATCGGTTGAGAAATGTAGGAAATCCGATCCAATATATAAACGAACAGACGCACACACACACACACACAAGCCGGGTTTTATAATAATTTATGAAACCTCACTTGTTTTTTACATTTGTGGAAAATTTTCCATAAAAGGCAAATAAAAAAAAAAAAAATTTTTAAGTGGAAAAAGAAAAACGGAAAGAAAATAAGAAATCAATAAAAAGAGGAAAGAAAAGAAAGGCAACAGAAATTATCCCTACAACCAAGATCCATGTACATAAAAAAAAAAAAAAAAACTAATATCTGTCTAATATGTACATGGCTATGTTTTAGAAAACATAGCTATGTACATAATATTAGACAGATATTAGTGAACACAATAATACTCGTATATACAAACAGTAAAAAGAACCTTCAGATATTGGAGGCTATCTACATTAAAACAAAGCAATCCACACTCAACAAAATTACATTTCAAACTAGTCACAACACATTACATTGCATCAAGACATTGCTTCTGTTGTAATACTTTTGTCTATCGCGTGGTATGATGTCATAGAACTGCATCTTAAACTTACGATCTCTGTCTGCTATTCCGCGGCCGTTATCGTCACATAGCAATTCTCTATGTCAAAATAACAAAATATCATCTTTGACAGTCAATATCTTTGTTTCATGTCTGTGTAACCACTCTGAGAATGGCTCATGTGAGCTGAAAGCTTAGGAATAACTTTAAAAAAATATCTAAATGTTGGACAATTTTTGTTTTCATTTTTTAAAAATAAATAAAATATATATATATATATATATATATATATATATAAAAAAGAATAAAAGAACAGTAAGATATATAATCCGGTGTTCTTATAGATATATTTTATTTTTACAATGTAAATTTACAGAGCATTAATATTATAAATTAATTGATTTAAAATGTTTTTTCCGCCACACAGTTTTAACCATGTTTTTTGAAACATTGTTAAAACTGTGTAGCGGAAAAAAACATATTTTAAATCAATTAATTTATAATATATATATATATATTCATTTTTCATTAAATAGTATAGACAAGTTTTGTCTATTTATGTTAAGTTCCTTTCATATTGTCTGATAAGCTTAATAACATTATCATTGAAAGACAAAAGGAAATAAATCACCATATTGATACATGTTTATTAATCCTATCTAAGCTTTCGCCTTACATTAACCATTTTCAAATATGACAATTACATTTCAATATATTAAACAATACACAGAACAATAATGATTTGTTTTTGTTGCATGGAAGATTTCCAAGCAACGACAAACTCGTGTATACGAGACGCAGAAATGAAAATCACCTTGCAGCTCGTGACATCACAGATGCCCACGTGAGAGTGAAAACGAGAAATATTAAGTATGGGAAGCTGTTGGTATAAACCAATGGCTTCTGCTATCAATTATAGACATTTAAAAATATTTGTGGAGATTTTGTCTGTGTATTGTTTAATATAAAAACTAAAAAAAATATTAAAACTTATTATTTAATGAAACGTGCATCAATGAAAATTGCTGCCTAAATACACACAATTGAAATATATATATATATATATATATAAGTAGATGGGATTGCTAAACAAGGCTAGAGATGCAAGTATGCCTTACTATTTAATCCATATCTGGTGAAAAAGGCAATGAACTCATACATTTTTTAAAAAAAATGAATGCAACAAACTCTAGAATAATTTGAGTTCTGTACACACAAAACAACTTTGCTACACACACATGGGTAAGGCCCATATATTCCTAGAATTGCACTTTAAACATGGCCTTGCACCATATTCTATTCCTTCATGTTTGCGTGTAGATAAATGCCAAGACAAAAAAAAATGCTGTTGGGAGCTTGGAGCTCCTTGCCAATATTCTTTGGGAAGAGCATTTACCAATTTCATCATTAACAGCATTCTACACACAAGCCAGTCGGCTTTTATTTGGCACAAGAATTATTTATTTTTCAACATGGTCTTCTTCCTTATCACGGTGCTTAATTCAATGACGAATATTCATCACCCTGATAATATATCCGACCTCACATACTGAGGGTGTATTTTGAAATGTTTACATTAACTGAGGAATTGATATTTAGATCTGACACTTCACAACAACACATAAACTTGTCTAGCGTAACTTAGTCTGGCACAAAGCTGCAATAATGGAGCGCTTTTTCAAATTTTCAGTCCACTTCAAAAATAAATACTCGATGAATGAAACATTGTGATCTGGATCAATATTTCCTCTCTTTCAGGCTGCCTCTTTGTGCGTCTCTCTGTCGGTCTGCCTCTTTGTGCGTCTCTCTCTGTCTGTCGGTCTGCCTCTTTGTGCGTCTCTCTCTGTCTGTCTGTCTGTCTCTTTGTGCGTCTCTCTCTGTCTGTCTGTCTGTCTCTTTGTGCGTCTCTCTCTGTCTGTCTGTCTGTCTCTTTGTGCGTCTCTCTCTGTCTGTCTGTCTGTCTCTTTGTGCGTCTCTCTCTGTCTGTCTGTCTGTCTCTTTTTGTGTCTCTCTCTCTGTCTGTCTGTCTGTCTCTTTGTGCTTTCTCTCTCTGTCTGTCTGTCTGTCTCTTTGTTTTCTCTCTCTCTGTCTGTCTGTCTGTCTGTCTGTCTGTCTCTTTCCTCTGTCTCTCTGTCTGTCTGTCTCTTTGTCTCGTCTCTCTCTGTCTTTTGTGCGTCTCTCTCTTTCTGCTACTCTCTGTCTACTTGTGCGTCTCTCTCTTTGTCTGTCGTCTCTCTCTCTTGCTGTTCTGTCTCAATCTCTCTCTCTGTGCAAATCTCTCTTTGTGCGTCTCTCTCTTTGTGCGTCTCTCTCTTTGTGCGTCTCTCTCTTTGTGCGTCTCTCTCTTTGTGAACTCTCTTCTGTCTGTCTCTCTTTGTGCGTCTCTCTCTTTATTTCTCTCTTTGTGCGTCTCTCTCTTTCTGTCTCTCTCTTTGTTTATGGTCTCTCTGTCTGTCTGTCTCTTTCTTTGTGCGTCTCTCTGTCTGTCTGTCTCTTTGTGCGTCTCTCTCTGTCTGTCTGTCTCTTTGTGCGTCTCTCTCTGTCTGTCTGTCTCTTTTTGTATATCTCTCTCTGTCTGTCTGTCTCTTTTGTTTTCTCTCTCTGTCTGTCTGTCTCTTTGTGCGTCTCTCTCTGTCTGTCTGTCTCTTTGTGCGTCTCTCTCTGTCTGTCTGTCTCTTTGTGCGTCTCTCTCTGTCTGTCTGTCTCTTTGTGCGTCTCTCTCTGTCTGTCTGTCTCTTTGTGCGTCTCTCTCTGTCTGTCTGTCTCTTTGTGCGTCTCTCTCTGTCTGTCTGTCTCTTTTCTGCGTCTCTCTGTCTGTCTGTCTCTTTTCTTGCTTCTCTCTCTGTCTGTCTGTCTCTTTGTGCGTCTCTCTCTGTCTGTCTGTCTCTCTGTCTGTCTCTCTCTTCTGTCTGTTGTCTTTGTTTTCTCTCTCTCTGTCTGTCTGTCTCTTTTGTGCGTTTCTCTGTGTGTCTGTCTCTCTGTGTCTCTCTCTCTCTCTCTTCTGTCTCTTTTCTCTCCGCCTCTTATTTTCTCTCTCTCTGTGTCTCTCTCTCTCTTCTCTCTCTCTAAATTTGTCTCTCTGTGTCTCTCTCTGTGTCTCTGTGTGTCTTATCTCTCTTTCTCTCTCTCTCTGTTCTGTGTCTCTTTTTTTTCTCTCTCTATCTCTCTATTTGCTTTCTCTCTCTCTGTCTTTCAAGTGGCTCTCTCTCTCTCTCTCTCTCTCTCCTTTCTATCTGTCTGTGTGCGTCTCTGTCTCTCTATCTCTCTCTAATTCTCAACATCTTCAGAAAAAAAAATTTTACTAATGAACTTTAAGGTAAAAGCCAAAACAAGTCTCTTTTTGTGCGTTCTGTCTCTTTGTTAATCTCTCTCTCTTTGTTTCTCATATCTCTTTAAACAATTTTTATATCTCTCTAAATCTGATTTTTATGTCTCTATAAATCTCTTTAATCTCTATTTGTCTCTCTCTCTCTCTCTCTATTCATTTTTCTCTCTCTCTCTCTTCACTTCTGATTCTCTATTCTCTCTCTCTTCTCTCTCTCTTCTAATTTTTTTTCTCTCTCTCTCTCTATTAATTTTTCCATATGTCTTTCTTGAATAACTCTTTCTTTTCCAATTTCTGGGATGTCTCTCTCTCTCTCTATTCACTTCTTTGTCTCTCTCTTCAATTCCTTTTTCTTTCTCTCTCTCTCAAACAAAATATTTCTTTCTCTCTCTATTCAATTTGAAAGATCTTCTGTCTCTCTCTATTTTATATTTTGATATCTCTATATTCTATTAGTTTTTTCTCTCTCTATTCACTTCTTTTTCTCTCTCTCTTTCCTTCACTTCAAAATCCAAAAAATCTCTAAATTAAATTTTTATCTCTTGTTTTTAAATTCTCTCTCCCTTTTATCTCTCTCTCTCTCTCTCTTCAAATCTCTCTCTCTCTCTCTCTCTCTCTCTTCTCTCTCTCCCTCTTCTCTCTCTCTTTCTCTCTATTCACTTCTCACTCTCTCTCTCTATTCACAAAGATATTCTCTCTCTATTCAAGATCTCTCTCTCTATTCACTTCTTTGTCTCTCTTATGCCTGCTTAATATATATGTTACTTGATGGTTTCAAAAAGCCAGTGCCAGTCTTATCAACAATAAGGAATCATGGTTAAATATTTTGTGAGCAGATAATCATCATATATCTGTGTGTGTGTGTGTATGTTTATTCATTTGAATTCAATAAGACATGCACGCAGTGCAAATATGACATGGAATAAAAATTATATACTGACATATATTTGAATATGTGTCCCTTCATGACGATGACAATCCGTGGCTCTCCACACAATTCCTTGTATTTTGTAAATTTGTAATCTGAGTAAAATTTCTCTCTTTGCTACCTCTCTTAATCCTTGTCCTGCCAATCATGTACGCAAGCAGGGTAAGTAGGTTATGTCTTGCTTCTCTCTTGCCTTCAATATTTCTTGTGGATTTCAAATTTCCCAAGCCCTCTTTCCTCATTTCAATGCTCTCTTTTTTGGATTCCAAATATTCTTTTTGTTTATAAAATTTTATCATTACTCACATGCTCAGTCCATGTCTTTCTGTAGCATCACATTTCTGCTACTGCAAGTTGTTTCTTCATCTCCGAGAAGATTGTCCAACATTTAATGCCATATACGAGGAGAGATATTACGTAAGAGTTCAGTAATCTTTTCTTTGTTTCTCTTGCTTCAAGTCTCCTCTTCATCTGTGAGGAGATTGTCCAGTATCCACTGCCAAATAGGAGGACTGATATTACATCATAGTTCAGTACTATTTGACATGTTTCTAATGAAGTTTTCCTGTTTCTTAATGCTTTGCTTAGCTTAGCTTTTGGAGGGCATCTTCTGATATCCCAAGGCACCTTCTGATTTCAATGACACACTTTCCGTCCTCTGTTAAAACACTTCTTGGATATTTAAATTTTTGATAATTTTGCATTAAAAATATTTATGCCATTACCTGTTCCATTTGTGTTCATATTAAAAAGAAGTTGTGGGGAGGACAGGTAATTTTTTTTTTTTTTTTTTTTTTTTTGTTGGAATAACTTTCATTAAACCTTCCTCAGCTCAATACATTATTTTTCTTTTTGATAGGAACCTTTTTGGGTGGATATACATACGTTTTGGGGTAAAAATTATTTATCTTAAATGAAGAATCGATATTATTCATTTTCATTTGACTTTTAATTCTGGAAGGAATTGATGGGGTGCTCATGTCCTACATTCTCCTTAATCTGTCAGGGTCATGTACCAGAGCCTGGGCCCCTGCAAATTTTTTCTTGGTGTGCTCATCATGTGCTGTATTTTGGGCATTTTAACTTTGTTCACTTTGATCATGGACACATGGACATTGTGGGTTTGGTATGTTTCAGTGTAGCCCATTTGGCATCGCTGCTTCGGCACCAGAAAAATAATTGAACTATTCAGCACAGCCATTCAGTCTTTGACTGAAGGCACTACCCACACACCCTCCCCCACAAAAAAAGGATAAAAAGTATTTACTGGAATTCTCTGAGGCTTTTATAACGTTACTGGACTCTACTTTGAAAATAAGAATGTGTAATTACTCTCTAAGTTTAACAAAAGTATTGTGATTTGTGATAAAATCAATCACAAATGAAAATGACATTTTCATCATTAATTAATCATATCTAAGGATTTGAGGCTTGTGAAGAATTGAAATAAAGTTTCTATCTATCTATCTATCCATTTTATATAATAGGCATCCGTCCATCTCAAGAGACGATGGAGTAGCATGGTGTGCTACGAGCCTGGCCAGGATATACACAGAACTAGGGCTGCCCAGACGTCTAGTTCCCCCTCTCTGCCTTGCTAGCAGAGTCCAAAGGAGAGCATAAACCATTACAGTTTGGTACCAGTGTGGATGCAGGTGTTGCCGGAAGTTATCACAAAGTGCCGTCCACCCGCCTTAGGGGCTCCACTCTGGGTTTGAATTCAGAGGTGTTGTTCTCCTAGACCAGTTGCCATCCAAGGCTATAGAACCCTGCTATTTACCCATAGCTGGAGGGAGACGAAGAGGATTCACACCTACCTGATGATTGTTTAACTGGATGAAGCACTGAGTCATGCTATCAATATGAGGTATTATGTATATTCACTAATATATGCTTAATATTTAATATTAATATCTCTGTTATATAACATTGAGCAGGCACTTATGTGCTACGCATGATACATGTGTAGGCGATCATGTATCTTTCGATACATGACTGATGAGGCAGATTTTTTTTCCTGCAGTAGGTTGCCATTTCTTTCTGCAGTAGGCCAGTTGCCATCCAAGGCTACAGAACCTGGTCTGTTTTGCTACTAACCCATAGCTGGGGAGAGAAGGGGATTCATACCTTTCCCTTTAGCATGTAAGTGAACATAATGAACTCGACTGGAATTTGAACTCTGCTCTCTGATTCCGCAATTCAAGTCACTGTCCATTGCGCCACCATGCCTAACATTGAGCATAGTTTTTTTATAACACTCTAGTACGTTAACTGGATAATGTAACATAACATAAATACATATATACACAGACATATTGATATATATATATTGATGCATCTTTCATTAAATAATATATACAAGTTTTGTCTATTTATTTTCATAATGTTATTAAGCTTATCAGGCAATATCATTGAAGGATGAAAGGAAATCACCATATTGATACATGTTTAAATCCAATCTAAGCTTTCGGCTGACATAAGCCATTATCAAAAAATGACAATTACTTTTCAATATATCAACCAATACATGGAACAATAATGAGTCTGTTTTTGTTGCATGAAAAATTTCAAAGCAACGACTAACACATGCATATGAAACACACAAGCGAAAATTGCATCACAGCTCGTGACGTCACGCATGACCACACGAGATTGAAAACGAGAAGTATTAAGTATGAGAAGCCGTTGGTATAAACCAATGGCTTTGGTTATCAATTATAGGCATTTAAGAATATTTGTGGAGATTTCGTAGTTTATTTTGTTTAGGTTAAGTTTCAACTGTTTTATGTATATTGTTTCAAGAATTTTTAGTTTTGTTTATTGTTTTCATCTTTAAGTATAGTTGTTTTCAACAAGGATTTTCTGGAATTGTGTACGCGGGCAGGCATGTTGTTTTAAATGCCTAAAAATAGCATTCAAATTGGATTTAAACATGTATCAATATGGTCATTTCCTTTCGTCCTTCAATGATAATGTTATTAAACTTATCAGACAATATGAAAGAAACTTACTTAAAATAAATAGACAAAACTTGTCTATATTATTTAATGAAACATGCATTAATGAAAAATTGCTGTCTAAATATGCACTATATATATATATATATATATATACATACACACACACAAATTAATTATAATATACAGTGTAACCCGAATATAAGAGAGTTGTCGGGACCGGAGAAGTCTCTTATATCCGGGTTTGGTCTAATTTATATACATTAACACAGGCTCTAATTTGGGACCAGAGAAAATCTCTTATATCCGGGTTTCTCTTATATCCGGGTCACACTGTACTAAGAAAATGCATTGGAAAGGGATTTTACAGTGTAACCCGGATATAAGAGAGTTGTCGGGACCGGAGAAGAAGTCTCTTATATCCGGGTTTGGTCTATTTTATATACATTAACACAGGCTCTAATTTGGGACCAGAGAAAATCTCTCTTATATCTGGGTTTCACTGTAATTTGAAAATTCCATCTCCTTTAAGAATAATTAGTCTTCAGAAACAGTTAAAGATTTTGAATCTGAAAGAAACAAATTTTGTCAAAACGCACACACACATTCGTGAAGCTGTTTAACCCATAGTTGGAGGTTTTATATTCAAAGTTTTCTTCTCCTAGGCAAGTTGCTATAAAACTCAGTTTTGGATTTTCTGCATAGAAAGAAAGATAAAAAAAAAATGTTGAATCTGAGTAGATATTTGAAAATCAATTCATATAAATGAGAGAATTTTTTTTTAACCTTTTTCATAATTATCATATTTTATCGTTCCAAGATGAAGAAGTAAGTTGCAACTTTTGCAAAAGTACTTTGTCTCTTTCCTAGACTAGCAAACTTTGCCAAGAGCAGTTAACAGTGAACTGGATGCTTTGGCAGATAATTCTGATATGAGAATTGGATTAAACAGTTTCTATGTTTAGAAACATTATTTGTCATACATTCAATGGCCACTTAAGTACATTTTTTTTTTCTTTTTTTATCATTTCACCCCAAGCAAGACAAAACCAGTAAGATGT